TCAGTATGACCACAGCTGGGGCAATGAGTGGCTCAGGTGAAGTGGGGGGAGCCCTCAGGAGCCCCAGTAAAAAGATGGACTTTATCCCCATGACACCCATCCCTGCCGCCTTGTGGGGCAAGGACCTCTCCTCTGATTTCCCAGAGATGCTGAGCATCCTTCACTCACACGCTGGTTCCAGACCAGGTGTGGCTACTGGAAGTCAGGGGTCAGCTGATGTGCCCAGGGTCACCGGCACCCATGGAGCCTGGCACAGGCTGAACACTCTAAAAAGATGGACTTTATCCCCATGACACCCATCCCTGCCGCCTTGTGGGGCAAGGACCTCTCCTCTGATTTCCCAGAGATGCTGAGCATCCTTCACTCACACGCTGGTTCCAGACCAGGTGTGGCTACTGGAAGTCAGGGGTCAGCTGATGTGCCCAGGGTCACCGGCACCCATGGAGCCTGGCACAGGCTGAACACTCAGCAAGCGCTGCGGTGTCTTACCAGGGCCGGGTTCCAAAGTTACGCGGTCCAGTGAGCTCACCCTCTGAAATCCCCCTACTCGCCCAGAAGGTACAGTACGGGGCAGGAAGAACCTAACAGCCGGCTTTGCCTCCAGGCCGGGAACGCAGCACAGCGTTTCTTTTGGTTGAGCAGTGGGTGGGATGAAAATGGTTTGCATTTAGGGACTGAATTATATGAAAGGCATAAGCTGTACTTCAGCAACAAGAATCCCCACAGGCCCGGGGGGTGTGGGAGCTGGGCTACCAGGGCGCCTCCCATAGGTGCCCTGTGAGGACCCAGGAACAGAATGGGCACCGCCGACAGTATTGAGGGTCCCTATCCCGGAGCCCCCCGGAAGGTGGCCCTCCAGGGAAGAGCTTAGTAGAAAAAGACTGGAGTTTGCAATAAGGAACCCTCCAAAAGATAGGGCTGGACTGTGATTCTAAGTAAGCTCAACTCTAACCAATGGAGTGAAGACATCTTGCTAAACCCGAGTCCTAAATAAGAGCCAGACACAGGCTCACACTTCCTCACATCAGCACTGTGAGACAGGAGCTATTCTCACCCCCAGTGCAAAGGGGAAACTGAGGTAGGGAGGTGACCATGGTGGCCCATTGTCACCCAGAGAAAAAATTTTGAGTCTGTGCTCTTAACTTCTACCCTACTGCCTCTCATCAAAGACTTTTATTTTGATTTCTATTAAAATACACATAATGTGATTTATTCAAGTATGATGTTAATCTCTAGCATTATCTCAGGAAGGGGGGAGTAATAAATTATTTTAATTGTTATGCTCTTTTCTCTGTGTTCTAAATTGTCCACACTAAGCATGTTTTACTTTAAAAACTAAAAAAAAACCCTGACTTCATAGAACGCTTTTTTAAAGAGATGGGCTGGGATTGTCCATGTGGAGAGCGGAGGCAGGAGGTAGGGCTGAAATGGGGCAGGGGAGGGGCAAGGCACCCACCCCCTCAGGACTCATGGACAGCAGTGACCCAACACAGGGGTCAGGACACCTCGATTCTCGACCCAGCCTTTGAGCTTTCATGCTGTGTGCCTTGAGCTCCCTACTTCCCATCTCTGGGCCTACTTCTCTGCAGAAGGAGAGGCCCAGTTGTCCCCCAGGAGATTCCTGCACAGAGATTCTCTAGGCAGGAGGCTCTGTGGCCCCCCAGTGACCTGACTCAGAGCAGAGAAGTATGCTTGTACCTCCCCACCCCCTTCTCCCTTGCCTACCCGCCCTCAATTCCCCAGCTTCTCCGTTCTCAGTCCTTGAAGGTCACTTCTGGAGAAGACGAGGCACAATAGCCCTACAAGGCCATTTCCCTGCTGGAGGAAAACCCCCGGGAAGTACCTACAAACAGGAAGTGAGGGTGGGTGCAGAGGTGAACTCACAGACAGCAGTGAACCCGCCCTGCTTTGTCTCTTCTTACATTATTTTGCTCAATTATGGGTTTTGCTCAATAAACAGCATTTCAATGAGTGAATGAATGATCCAGTGAGTGAATGATGTGCTGCCTTCCCAGCTGTCTGTGGACACACATCCCCACTCCCACCCCCTGGGCCAGTCTCCCTGAAAGGCTGTCTTCCTCTCACCTTGGCCAGGGCTGGCGAAGTGGTTGTAATACTGGGACACGTACGTCATGATGCTGAGGCAGTCGGGGACACTCATGGAGACCATGTCATTGGGGTCCAGGAGAGCAGGGATCCCCAGCTCCTTCTCGGCCACTTCAAAGGCCTGGGGTAGGGACAGGTACAGGGGTGGGGGCAGAAGCAGCCACAGCAGGAAGAGGAAGAGGAGGCAAGTTTAATGGGCGCCCCGTAACTGAGGCTCAGCTTCTCTCAGGGGGATGGGGGAACCAGGGCAGAGGTCAGCTCTAGCCCCACACAATGACCCAGAGAAGGGAGAGGCCTGGTGCTCTGGGAACAAGTGAGTTAGACCTGAGCAGGGGGCAGGGGAGAGGAGCAGCCAGGGCCCGAGTGCCGGGCAGCTCCTCAGGGAGCTGTCCAGGAAGGAGCCCCTGGCCACAGCTCCTGCCCTGCAAGACCCCTGCCCACCCCCTACCCCCCACACAAGGCCCCTTGGGCTGCCACCTAGCTGCGGACTCACCAAACGGTTATTCTCGAAGACATTGTCCTTGGAAAGTGAATCGAAATCTCTGAAAGAGGCAAAGGGGAGGAGGAGCACTGAAGAGGGGACTGCGCGAGGGTGTGAGGCCAGGAGCCGGTGGAGGTGACCTCGTCCCAGGGGGGAGGGCTGTGTGGACTGCTGAGGAGGAGGCAGCAAGCACACGCTCGGAGGGCCAGGGCTGCGTGCTGGGGGCACAGGATGAGCTAATGGTGCCCAGAAGCATCCAGGCGGAGACTGCAAATCACTCAGAACCAGCGGGGCTCAGATCCGAGCTTTCAAGTTTAAGTCCCTTCCCTCTTTTCAAATTCTGAACACCCTTCCTCAGGAAGCCATGTCCTGAGTCAGTGGCAAAGATAAGACTAAGACGAATGCTTGTAATTACAAGGACATCCATGGAACTTGGGCCTCATGCTGGCACTGTGCTGAGCTCCTGTTTTGAATTTACATTATTTTCAACTCTCTCTGACAGGTATGTACCCCATGTTACAGATGAGGGCACTGAGGCCTGGAGAGGGGAAACCAGCCAGCCCTGGAGTCCATATTCCTGGTTCTTCCACTACATGTCACAAACCTGGAGAAGCCACATCAATCCAAAACCCAACCCAGCCTGCAGATGAGTGGTTTTCTTTTTGATGGGCCCAGGAATAGAACAAGTTTGAACACGAATGGAAATCGTACATACTCCAGAGCTGCTGGCAGACACTGAACGGCTGACTGACCTTGCTGCGCCACTCCTGGGAGCACCTTCTATTGGGGGGACAGTGAAGGGTTTCCTAGTTTCTAAACTGGGACAGGTGAGAGGCAGTGAGGCCTGCCTGGGAGATCCTGGGAGGGGACAGCTCACCAGCCTGCTTTATTCCCCCGCCCCCTCCCTGCCCCAAGCTGCTGAAGTGGCAGGAACCAGAGGAGGCAGCCCGGCCTTCATGCTACGCAGCCTCCTGGGTGCACCCGCCCAGAGCCTTGCCCTTCTATGGCTAAAAGCTGCAGCCTTCCTGCCCGATGCAGTGGGCCCAGAGGCTGGAGAAGACAGTACATCCTCCAAGGTCTAGGTCCCAGGCCCTGTTCTTCCAGGTCAAGCTGTGTGACCTTAAGCAGGTCAACAGTCTTCGCAGCCTTCATTTTCCCACCTGTGAACTGGGCTAGGCTCTAGTACCACCTTCCAGTCTGGTGGGCAGGACTGGTGTCCAGGCTTGGTAAAGGGCTGGCCTCACAGATGTAGGGAGCAGGCAGGTCCACCCTCCTCTCCTTGCCCGCCTCCCCCCTAGCTTCTCCAGGCAGAGTCCAGGTATAGTGAACTGGGGCAGAGGCAGGAAAGGGTGGCTTGAGAACCCTGGAGAGAGGTACCCCAAGGCTGGGTGGACTGGGGAGAGAGGAGGCGACAGGACAGTGTATGTGTCTTAGGCCTCTTTTGCTACCTCTGTTCAGGCCACTTCCTTCTCCCCTCAGCTGGGTCCCTAACTCCCCTCGCTCTGCCACTGCCTAAGAGTGGGATCCTCAGCAAGCTGTTTAATATCTCTAAACCTGGTCTGTGACACTGAACAGGGTGAGGGGACACCAGCCTAAGTCCCCGACAAAGGCTTGTTCCCAGACCAGATGAGACAAAGCAACTTGTCTTGGTCGTTCATTTCAATCTCCCAACGGTATTTCTAGAAGGCTAGGGTCACATTTTGTTCACCCTGTGTCCCCAACACCCTACATAGTTCCTGCTACTTAGGTAGGTGTTCAATACATGTTTAGTGAATGAAAAAATGTGGGAAGCAGTACAAAAACCGTAAAGGCCCCCAAGATACTACAATTCTTCCTCCAGTCTCTTCCCCCACCCTCATCTCTGTCTCTAACCAACATCTGGGCTCTGTAACACGGAGATTTTCTGAGAGTTTTCAAAGGCCCAGGAAGTTCTATTTGGCTGGGGGAGATGAAGGGCACAAAAGTGAAACCCACATGCGCTCAAGGGAGCTTAAAGATGCCTCGGCTGGGGAAAGCGGGCAATGCACCAGCCTCCTCACCAGGCAGCAGAACCCCGCCCCCCGCAGAGGCAGGGGCCCCACCCCTACTCTCGTGGAGATCCTCCCCTACTCATTGCTGAGGTCCTCTCTATGCCTTATGTGGCCCTTGGGCCTCGGTCTTTGTCCTGTGTTGGCAGGACAAAAGGATTGTCCTGAGGGACAACGGGCTGGCAGCCCAGGCGCTGGCCTGCCTTGTGAAATGAATGCCTGGGGTGATTCTAGATCTCTTCTCAGGAGGGGGGCTGCCCTCCATTCCACACCAACTTGAGCCACATCCCCTCCCCCAAGTACCTACACGGCTCCCTATGGCCCCATCCACCCTCCTTAGCCAGCAAGAGGCCGGACGCACTCTGGCTCAGCCACTTCTGGCCGTCCCTGCCGTGTGCCATAGGCGATGCTGCCTGTGGCTCTACTCAGGGGGTCCCCTCTGCTCAAAGGCCCTTACCTGGCTCTTGCTATCTCCTTGAAGACTAAGTGACATCTGGGAGGCCTTCCCAAGCCAGCACTTCCCACGTGGAATTATCATCCCTGCTTCTACATCTGTTATCCCCACAGGCTGCGGGAGACCGCGTAAGGTTTCTCTTTGTTGGTTGCTAGCTCCATCATCACCAGGCACAGTGCCCAGCAGAGTAGTAACTCTGTAAATACTTGTTCAATAAATGAAGGAATAAGACACTTTCATCACCATCCCCTACTGCCTGATAACACTATTTGCATAACTAACGTTAATTGAATGCTCATGACCTCATTTAATCCTCACGACAATCCTGCGAGGTCAGTCTTATTATCAACCCCCCTTGTACAGATGAGGAAACTGATACCTGGAGGGATTTATCCAAGGTAACACCCCTGGGACATGGAGGAGCTGAATGCAAACCAATCAGCATGCACTTTGATGCTGGAAGGCTCAGACCCACCACGCGGCTTAGCTTAACACCGGAGCGCCTTCACACACTGGCCCTGTCCCCTGCCTCACGGCCTGGCCCCCAGCCAAGTCCTCCACTCCAATCTAGGTGCTATTCTCCATCCCACCACTCCCCACCCACTTCTATTAGTGCAGTTGTCACATGCCCCACAGCAGGCAGGGCCCACCTATGTCTCTCCCTCACCTTATTTACTTCTGCATCCACTTCTCCAAAACCCTCTCCTCCAGGGCCCAACCCACCACCCACAGACACTGTGTCACACAGTACGGAGTAAACCAAGAGCATGAGCCATCGAATCCTTGAGGCGGTCCTTTCCTTCCTTCCCGCCTTCCTCAAAGCCCTCCCAGGTGCAGTCCTCAGGGAGCGCAGGTCTGAAAGTGAGACACATACAGAGACTCCAGATCCTGTCAGGCTCTGGGAGCTCTTGGTCGGGCCTGTAGGCAAGAGAGGCAAGTACCATGACTCTTGTCCCCAACTTGCAGATGAGACAGGAAGCAGAGGAAAGGTGGGCACCAGATAAACTTTCACTCAGTGTTTTATGAATGAATGAATGAATGAATGAATGAAAGAGATGCCAGGGCCTAAGGCAAGAGGGAGCTGAGATAGAAGCCCAAATCAACTGTTCTGGGAGTCCGAATAAATTTTCCCATGAGAACCTCACTGGGCAGCTGGGGACAAGAATGGGCCATTTCATACCCTGGAGCGGCCGAATGGTGGCTGTCAGTCAGAGACCAGGAGTCTATACTTGGCCTTCCTGCCTCACTGAGGAGGGCAGGCCTGGGAGGCAGGTCTGTGTCCTAATTGGAGGGTGGGGTTACCCATTCATCCAACCACTGTTAACCTAGAGTTTCCTCCGCGCCAGGCACTGTGCTAGTGCCCCGGCGACAAGATCGCATGAGGGAGTCAGAGAAATGAGGTTCACTGTACTCAGAGCAAGCCCCCCCCCTCCAAGAGGCCTCAATGCTTCACGGGGAGGCGGGTGCTCAGTGTGCCTGTCTGGGAGGAGTTTAGTACAAGAAAGGCCCAGAGTCCCCCCAAAGAGGGCTCGGTGCTCCTTTAAAGAGTCAAGGCCTTGGAGGCTGTCCCTTAAGCCCCTTAGGCGGAAATCAAAGCTCTGTGGGCGGGGTCACCCCTTCCCCCCACCCCTGCAGCAGAAGGACCAGCACGCGGCGGCTGCAGTGTCCCAGTGGGCAGGGTCAAAAAGGCCTAGTGGGGGAGGGGGTTGCCCCGGATTCGGGGTGGGGGGGAAGGGTGTTTCAGTGACCTTCGAGGCGTTCAGAATCCCTCCGTAGGGTCGGCGTCTAGGTCTCCGAGGGGCGGCGCCTGCCACCGCCCGGGGCCCGCCTC